CCCCTAGATCACCATTTTTTATGACTGAGTAGTACTCCATAGTGTGCATATGCAGTTATGTATTGGTGGGCGCTTGGGTAGTTTTCACATCTTTGGAGTTGTAAATTGTGCTGTAATAAACATTTGAGTGCAGATCTCCTTTTTATAAAAGGACCTTTTTTCCTTTGGATATATACCCAGCAGTGGGATTTCTGGATCAAATGGTAGGTCTACTTTAAGTTCTTTGAGGTATCTCCCATACAGTTTTCCATAGAGATTGCACTAGTTTGCAATCCCACCAGCAGTGTATGAGTTCCTTTCTCTCTGCATCTATGCCAGCATCTGTTGTTTTAGGACTTTTTAATAGGAGCCATTGTCATTGGAGTTTGGTGCTATCTCATTGTGGTTTTGATTTGCATTTCCCTAATGATGAGAGACATGGAGCATTTTTTCCTGAGTTTGTTGGCCATTATTGTATCTTCATTTGAAAATTTTCTGTTCATATCTTTTGCCCACTTTTTAATGGAGTTGTTTGGTTGTTTTATGCTGATTCACTTGACTTCTTTGTAGATTCTGGTAATTAGTCCAAAATCTACAAAGAATGCAAATGTTTTCTCCCATTCTGTGGGTTGTCTATTTGCTCTTTGGATTGTGTCCTTGGCTATACAGAGCTTTTTAATTTGATCAGATCTCATTTATTTTTTAAACTTTAATTATCCAGTTTCCCTAACTTTTCTCTTTTTGAAGAGAACCAGATTGGTAATTAGTTATAATAAAAAGGAAGTAAAAATTGACTTAAAGTGTGAAAGGCCTATCTTGTACTGGAAATAAAACTAACTTGTGGTTAGGGGACTATCCTAGTCTTTCCTGTGCCACTGGACAAGTGACTATGTATCTTTGGACTTGTTTCTTCCTCTATAAAATAAGGAAGTTGGTTATTTTTTATTATTCTGATAGTAATATTATACGATAATTACCATTATCATTACAAACAATAACAAATGGTTATTGAACGCATGCCATGTTTTACATGAATATTATCTCATTTCAACCTCTCAGTAACTTTATAATAATACATACCATATTATTATTTTTTAAAACTTTATTACTGTATAATGTATATAGAAAAGTACATGTATTATAAGAGAACAGCTCAATAAATTTTTATAAATTGAACATATCTATTAAATATCACTCAGAACAATAAACAGAAGTCCCTCTCACCCTCTTTTAATTTTTATCTTCCATTTCAAAGACAGCCACTATTCAGATTTCTAAGTGTATAAATTAGTTTTTCCAATTCTTAAACTTCACATAAATGGAAGCATACAGTGTGTCTTTTTGATATTTGTTCACATTATGTTTGTGAAGTTCAGGCATAATGTGTGTATTCATAGTTCCAGTGTAGCACTACATGCACATACCACACAAATATTTATCTATTCTGCTGTTGAAGGGTATCTGAGAAGTTTTAAATGTGGACCTAGTACATAGAAGCCTACTAATATGTGATTTTTGGTGAACATATATATATTCTTCTGTTAAGTAGGCACCTTGGAATGCTTTTT